AGCATCAGGGTCTGTACCAGGTCCAGATCTTCAGCATGCTCGCTCAGCTCTGCAGCTACCGCTCGGTTTAGGCGGTGACTAGCACAGCCGACTAGTGGAACACCCATGAGGGTGGCGAGCCGGCGGTTGACGGAGCAGTTGTCTCCCACGAGGAAGACACACTGCTCCAGCCTCTTGTTGTAGTCTCGCAACAGCATCGTGCGCAGAAAGGCCTGGTGCGTTGCGGCCGACAAATCGTCGGTCTCCTCATTGACGAGTGGAGCCATGCTGAGGAGCGGGCAGCGAATCGCCTCGTCTACCTCATACCACGCAAAGACGGCGATGAAATGCTCCGAAGCATGGCTCCACCCGTCAAAAATGATACCGAAACGCTCAGGTAAATCGGCAGCGATCGCACGCTCGACGGAGCGTGTCACCGATTCCAGGGAACCTCGGAGCGTTTCCACCGAGATGGGCTCCAGGTTCGTGTATCTGATAATATATTGCAAATTGTAGTAGTAGGTTAGTCAGTTGTTCTGAGAGCACTAATACATAGTTAATTTTAAACGTACCGCCGTGAAAGCCTGCTCTCACAGAATGAAAGGGGCAAGTTGCCCAGGACGACCCACCAGCCATCCGAACGTGTTCAGGGCGGAGTGGCGGACGTAATGCAGGAGAGACCCAGTCTCTCCCGGGGTTGCAGCCAGCATCTCCGCAGCAAACGAGGGGTGCTCACGCCTGATGTGCTGCATCAGGTTCGTGTACCCCGAACCAGGGGCACGCTTCCGGACCGCGCCGCACCGACAGCGAAAGTACTCGAGGATTACCTCGTCGTACTGATCACGGCACGGCCGGAAGTAGAAGTTCGCCACCTGCCTGTTGGTGAAGGTGGCGGGACGCTGCGTGCGAGATGTAGTGAGCATGCCGGGCAGTAAGTGTCTTGGGCTTCAGGTGAATTTGAAAGTGGGGAGAGCTGGGAGCTCCACGAAAATTGTTATTGGTGGTTGTGGAAAGCTTTAATACATTATTGAAGTCAAGAGGTTCAGCTCAATAGATAACTGTTAGGTAGCTGTTAAGGTTACTAAATAAATTATCGGTCCAAATTTATTGCAATAATTGCAGCATCAATTTATTTTTCGGCAGCCCTGTGTGCAACACACACTAGTAGTTTCTTAACTGCTAGTCGGGACATAGAAACTCCCAGCTACTCTTTAGGTAGTCGTCTGCATTCAGCTATTCATCTTGCAATTCACTTCTACATTATATTTATGAAGCTCAAATCAAACAAGGAACAGTGCCGGAGCGGGTGTGTATACAATATGCCGGATCCGGGTACCTGCTGTAAACTAGCCCATTGTCTAGCACGGTGTCAGAGCACAGGCAGTCCTCTAATTCTCGATATCTAACGGCAATTCGCGAGCCTTTTTTGTTCTGTTTGCGTTGTAAAGCTGGTTCTTACCCAAACATGCATGCATACCGCCCGCGAATTTTGAGCTTCCAATGTGTCTTCGTGCGAACAGGAACGTGTGGGATATGACGATGATAGGCACGTAGTATGGGCTTAAATTATTTGAGTATTGCAGTAATTGCGGCAAGTTTTATAACTCCTGGCTCTTGTATCGCCGTTAGTACTATTGCAGCACTTGACAGGCAACTCAGTATAATACTGAATTGGAGGAGCGGTGTACCCGCTTTTTCCCGAAACTTGCTGGACCACGGCACTAGGGTTGCATAGATAAGAAACCGGTGGACTGGGGCGCTACTGACGCATACGAAGTAATCCTCGTTGGGCGATCTAGTCAGCACTAAAGTGCTTCCAATCTCAGCAAAAGCTGTAGCTTTGGTCCTTGCCGCCTACCGACAAGTGTAGAACTGGTGTCTACCTAGAGGTTAGGCGCTTGCCTACAGGCTTGCGCTGCCTGTCGGCCTCTTCACTACTAGCCCGCTACACCAAGCGCAAGGTTTTATCGGTACTCACAATCTTGACATGCTCTTCCTCTTAAAGATTTCACCCTCTAGTTATTCTAAAAACACTCCTTGTTAGACAAAAGATGCATCAACAAGTAACCCTCGAGATAAGAAGTAGATGCTGTTCGCTGCAGCATTGACGATAGGGCAGCCCGAAACGTGAGTCATGTTACAACTTTTGGGTCAATGCAGACAATAGAGATGTGTACGACAAACACGAATGAATCATGGCCCAAGATCCGCAAACCAAGCTGGATGAAAAGCTAAATTACATGATTAGTGCGGTCCCGACTTTCCTACCCCGACTATTCCAAAGTTTATTTCAGAGGTAGGGGTTTCGATTGGTATCTGATTTTCCGTGGAGGGTATTTCTATCCCGTATTTTTTTTTTTTTTTTATGAATGGTTGATCCAAATATCCAACTGGTAGCCGTGGACATTTATGCCTGTTGAAACTATACAATACTACCTGTTGCCGCCATCCACTTGGTTAAGTACGTCTATTTTCGAAATGAACTCCGCGCATGAAAATATTCATGCGCGATATTATAGACCCGTCTGAAATGGTACCTGTAGTTCCTAACCAGGAAAGTAAAGACAATTCGCTTAAGAATCTTTGACAAAGCTAACATATTGGTCGGGCTGGCACAGGCGAATCTGAAGTATAATTTTGTTTTGGTAACATGGCACCGAATTACAGTTAGAAGGAGGTGTTTTAAAGCTTTGTCGAAGCCGATGCTAGCAGACGTAGGAGGTGTGCCGATAAATGAAGCCCCAGCCTTCGATACTGATGAAATTTAAACTTCAAGGTTTTTAAGGGCGTCCACGAGTCGTATAAAAATAGTAAGATATACATTTTTACGAGTTAAAAACCAACAAGTTATAGTAATATTTGATTTTCAGTCGTCTCGCTGGCAGGAAGTGGATGAGTGGGCAACATGATATGGGGATCAAAAGGTAGACTTGTCATTTGGAGATTACGTAGCAATAGCACGTTAGACACGCGTTGAGGCGTGAACCTGGGAGTGGTGTGGAGAGGACTTGGAAACGTGGCTGGTTGGCTTGAGGAAGAATTGGAAATGACCCAAGTTGCGGTTTTTAAGGCGATACCGTTGGTTTCGCCTCTAATTCGAGGACGGCACCGAGGACCAGCTTTGACGACGAGCCTGAACTATTTTTTTTTGGTTCACCGCTCACTATCGAAAAAGCACTTTTCGCCATCGTCCAAAAGCACCATAGTTCAAGTAAAACGACTATATTATGGTACGTGTATTACGGTACAATATTGCAACTATCCTTTACTGAACGACTTTAAATTAATAACACCTGTAAGTATGATAACGGGGAGAAATTATTGCATCCACCGTTTTTTTTTTTTTTTCGTCTGACAGCACTCGTTTTTACTTGGTGTCTACGACAGTGTTCTGCAAGGGATCATCCGTTAGCATCCTTGATGTTTGTCTTCCGCAAAATTGTGCTAAGACTCATTCTTTAATTGTCCACGTCGGAAGAAGAACTCGCCAGCTTACTATATAAGCATGAAAACCTTTGCTGTTTCATGTGTCATCGTGTTAGCCACACTCTTTGGCTGCGCGAATGCCCACGGCTACATCTCCCATCCCAAGGCGACGTACAAGCCCAACACCGTGTACACGACCTACAACGGTGTCACCAGCGCTAACGTAAATCGGGGATTCGCTGGTGGAATCTACAACCATGAGCCAGTGAATAACGCGAAGCAATTCGCAGAGCACTGGAAGGCCACGGGATACAAGTCCCTGCGCGACATGATTGACCCCATTTCTCCCGGCTGCGGCAACACGATAGACACGGCGACGCCCGTAGATGTGAGCAGCTACACGGATATGTGGTGGCAAAACGACGAGTATAAGGAGGGTTTTCTGAACTCGCACCACGTACGTTAAATCTCCTTGAAGTGCTTGCTACCTACTCTTTACTTAACTGTATTCTTTCGCTTTTACAGGGCCCCTGTGAAGGCTGGATTGACAACAAGATGGTCTTTCACTACGACGACTGTGTTGCTGAATTCCCGTCGTACCCGGCCAAAATACCCACGGACTACTCGTCGTGCAAGGGTGACAAGTGCTTGTTTGTCTTCTACTGGTTGGCACTCCACTCGCCGGAATGGCAGATTTACAGTACGTCAATGAAGTCGTGCTCAAAGCTGTTTTGACTTATGCTAACTCGTCATTCTCTTGCGTTTGCTACTTTTAGAGCAATGCGTTCCTATTTCGAACGGAGGATCTGGTGATGTCGCGAGCGACGCATCAACAGCGAATCAAACAACTCCTGAAGCTGCTCCTGCCGCACCCGAAGCGACAACGGCTGCTCTGACGACGGATTTTACGAAGATTGACTCGACTCCAGCTCCGGCAGATACTCCTCCTACCGTCACGAGTAACGAAACACCAGGAACCGGAAAGAGTATGTGCAAGGGTCGCAAGCGGAGCTAATTCTAAGCTAGTTGGGACTTTCATGTTGTGACAAGCCCATGGTGTTGAGTTGAAGTGGGGCTGACATATATTCTCTGCGTAATAAATGTACTTTGAGTTTTCAACAAAACAAAAATGTCTGGTATTGTCCACTCACGGATAAATCTAAGATTAACGTGGTCCTTGGAAATGTCATTAAAATAACTTTGTAAAAAGGTATTATAATATGAGCAAGGGTGAAGGTTTTCTCTTTCGTGTTGGTGAGGCACATTACAATTATTTAGCGAACGGATGAAATTATGTACATCAAGCAGGGATTGGATCATACGCAAGTAACCGGTGCACGGGATGTTAACCGAGCGCTGGTAGTGCAGCAGCTTGTGTTTCCACCTCATCATGCATAAAGACTTGAGTTATTCTATGCACGCTCCCGTTTGGGTATGAGGCATTTGCGTTTTTTCCACGGTAAATTGGTATTACTCGGGATCGAAGAGCTCACCGTTGCTGGTGCTTAAGAGTATCACTCCACAACAAACTATTATGAGGAAACGACAACAAAACAAACTAAGAAATAATAATCATAGTTCTTGGTTAATCGTTTGCAAATTTCACGGTGTATTACGTCGTGGTCACACGCTGACCGGAATTTTGTGTGGTAGTCGGTGGGATATATGTAATGTTAAACTAACAACGTGAATGCACTACTTGCACATAACATTTACAAAAATCTAGCGACAATGTTAGACTTAGAAAGTAAGATCCCGATCCAATTACCAATACACGCCCACCGACCACATTATTCAGGTAAGAGGCGTGGCTGGTGTAGCTTCAACAACCTCTTTCTACTCGACGTTTTTTCAGCCGCAAGCAAAAACTGCAATTAAGTCTCCGCCGTTAATGATATTGGTGTGGCTAATCGGTGAACATACCGAGCTTAAATGTAGGTTTTGAGCAATATCTGTGTGTGTCTGCAGAGGTTCATGTGAGATAATCAAGAGATTTAGGCTAGCACTTTGAGGGCTGTTCGAAATTGGAAGAAAATGCTGTCGACCGTACAAGGCAAGTACACTGTACTTGCACTGTTCTAGTTTACTCCACCTTCAGCGTATTCAAAAGCCCCCCCCCCCCCTATCAGTACAATGTAGTACACTCGTAGAGTAGTCCATCTGAAATTGAACCCCATGATGGCACCAGGTTGGTTCTACCAGCATTTTTCACACCATAGGCCCATGGATCACATCGGGTTATCATCACTCCAGACGAAGACTCGGAGCGACCAGCCCAGAATTTTCAGCCACTTTCCCAACGATGCAATTGTCAGATCTTTATGCTCTTGCAGGAGTTTATATGGCTGTGCACTGTCTACTGATGCAAGGCGATGACTCCAACGAAGATACCAAGAACTACAAAACCAATGCGAGTCAAAGCGAGGGCAGCTTTATCGTGTTTCTCTTCTCGGTCATTGTATTCGACGACAAACACGATTAGCATCGAGCATCTACACAACCTGGCGAACGTTTCGTGTTGAACAAATTCAATGTGTTGCTTTCGTCTGCGAATTATCCTGTCATCGGAGGCAATGAGACCCAAAGCTACTGGTACAGAATTCACATCTCGCAAAAAATACCCAAAAACGTCATGGTTGGGTCTTGAAGTGAGATTTTCACCTCTGCTGGGCCTCACTGCCCACGCTGCAAGCATTTATTCACTACTAGGTCCAACCTGAAGCTCAAATATTGCCAGTCAGTAGAGGTCGATTTCATTGCAAAATGTCTTGTGTATTCGAGTGATCTCTTTTGTAATCACCTCTATAAGAACATCAAAGTCACGCGCTTAAGCACACGAAAGATTCTACAGCTCAACAGCTAGAAAGTCGACTACACAGCTCTCGGAGTCACGGAACGCTCAAACTCCATTCTCAATCAGCATTTGTATAGGTTTGGTGCGAGGCTCTCGCAGCGAGGGTAGTTCTTGATTATTTTACGGTATTGCGCTCCAAGGAGCAGAATATATTATTAATAATTCTTATTGTCAATTATTGTTGCTGCTGTTGAAAGTTACCGATCCCCTGATCTTGATCATCACACTACCATGACGAGAATTCCAGATAGTCCACTTAGTGCAATACGAAGCTAGCTTCATGAGCGAGAAGTAGACTTGGAGAGAGCAAGGGTTACTGGTGGCGGTGTTTGTCCGTTGTCGAGGAGTGCTCCGCGCTTGACTCTCCAATCGCGGCCGCTGGAACTTGTGGTTGTGGGGTACTACAATCAAACTGGCATGTGAAGTCTTGATGCCCAACGTAGACGGCAAGCATTCAGGATATGCATGTACCTTGAAACGCTAAACAGGATTGCAATTGGAACGTGGAATGTTTCAACGCCCGACTGGAGCATTTCACAGGATATTTGCAACGCGCATCTTCTCAAGTTATTGCAACCGTCTACTTCCAGTACTCGGGTCATCACGCACTTGCAGCGAATAGTGCAAACCATTCGACGCGCTAAATTTCATGCAGTCTAAAGCGCAACGAATGCCTCGACCTCAATCAGACGATGGCCCTGAAACAGAACAGTTTCCACGCCGCGAGTGTGGAATTCCAGATCTGACTACACGCCCGTCTATCAAATGTCGTAGATTGGGTCCAAGAGTTCCAAATGCCTCTCCTTTTCGGCAGCAAAGAGTAGCGATTCTGCGCCATTCAATAGAGCTGTACCATTGCCACTCTTGCTGTTCGTTCGTTCGCTCCCACGTACTAGTATGACTTCTAGTTTTAATTTGGTCAGTGCCCCTCAAGTCATCAGTCCAGAGTGGTGCACTGCGCACTGCACAGGCGTGACAGGCATGAAAAAGATCAGACATCGGCGCTAGATGCAGATGGCGCTGGTTTGATTCCGGTTGGCGTCGGTCATGTATTCACCTTAAAGCGTCGATCAAGCGTCATTTCGTCTGGTGGATCACCTCGGCTGACAAAAAGCTCGTGCCCACACGCAGCATGCGATGCCGTCGAGATTTGTTTCTTGACATCTCGGTTAGTTTTCTCTAGCGAAAGTCGGTAGGTGTTTTTCAGTCGTCGCAGGCAGCTGTTTCTGTAGCACCTCTCGGTCTACTTGACGAGTGCAACCACCTAGAGTCGTTGGGCTGTCCGTGAAGTTAGTCGACACAGCTGGCCAAGGCACCACCGTCGTAAGCCACACCTGTTTGCTGTCGTTCGAAGAGTAGCAGAACGCTGACAAGCTACGCAAGTCCATCGACACGATCCCGTTCGTAAAAGACATCGCCCCACTCTTCCTCATTCCGGCATTTGCCTCTTGATCAGCAAGTCCAAGTCACAATACTCAACGATGAAGCTCATTGTCGCCACCTCCGCCATCGCTCTTCTGGTTAGCCAGGCCAACGCCCACGGCTACCTCTCGCAGCCTGCTGCCTACTTCCCCAACGGCATTGACACCTCGTACAATGGCATCCTCACCGAGTCATGCGACGCTGCATTCGCTGGTCTCAAGTGGAACGACAGCCCCGAGGCTAACACCGCCATGTTCACGAAGTCCTTCCCCAACTCGAAGTTCAAAACCCTCAAGGCTATGATGGACACGGTCGCATCGGACTGCGGCAAGACTTCGCTTACCGGCTCGCCCGTCGATGTGAGCTCACTGAGCTCCATGACATGGCAGAATGACCAGGAGCAGAAGGGATTCATCGACTCGCACCGCGGACCCTGTGAGGGCTGGATCGATGACACACGTGTCTTCCACTCGGATGACTGCCGAGCAGACTACACCGGGTACCCGGCCGAAATCCCGGTCGATTTTTCGTCCTGCAGTGGAGATTGCACCTTCACCTTCTACTGGCTGGCACTGCACGAACCCAACTGGCAGGTCTACAAGCAATGCGCGCCGATCACCAATGGCAGTGGCGGTGGTGCCCAGACTGAGAAGACGGATGCTCCGACGACTACCAACGCCCCTACGACTAATACGGAGGCGCCTGCATCTACAGAAGCTCCCACGGATGCATCGACTTCTACCGACGCCCCGGAGGCAACGGATGCTCCTGCCAGCGACGGCGAGTACACGTCGTCTCCTACGACTACAGCACCTGCGGCGGGCACGGTTGCTCCTGTGGATGTCACCGAAGCCCCAAGCACGGATGCTCCGGCCTCGACATCCACATCGAACTGTAAAATTCGTCGCCGTCGCCGCATGGCCGCCAACCTTCGCTCCGAGAACTAGATAAGTCACGCAGTAGTGTCGTTTTATGTTTCTTCATAGAGAAAGCGTCAAGTCCGTAACAATTGTAATCAATGTGCTGTTGAAATCGAGTATTTTGGATGATTCTGCTAACGTCCATGCAGTACATGTATTGTACTTAAGAAAGGTGTTCTTAAGAAACTGACATCGAAAAATGTTTTATGTAAGAACAAATTTCTATGTCAGTTTCTTAGAACACCACCCTTTTCAGAATTTTATAGGATCTCAGACCCGATGAAAGGTCGAAGCGGTGCGATGAAGAGCAGAGAGTAAAAGGTCGAAGATTTCTCCTTGACTCAAGACTTGAACGGCAGAATGAAAAATTTGCCAACTAGTTGAAAGGGAGACCAGCAGACTAGATGAGTGGTGTAACACCACTCCATCACCGGCACACATGTAGCACTCCTCCAGCAATGCTAAGCACCAGTGATGCCTGGAAATCTTCTTTTCTGGAGGTGTGCTGAATCGGTCGTTCGCTCGAAGTGTAGGTTGAGTGCATTCGGTGGCGTACGCCAATTCGGTGGTGATACCGTCTCGTCTACCCCACAAGATACGCTCCACACAATCTTTTTGTATATTTCACGTTTTGGTGTTTTGTTGTGAATGAATATGCTTTAGTTGTTGTAAATATCTATCTAGACTTGTAAGTTTACAATAAATCTAATTCTGAGTTGAAGTCGGAATGACTGCTACCACTAAACTTAGAACTCATGTATCCACCTCTCAAGTGCTGTACGTCTACGGCCACTGGCCCCTGCCAGCACTGCAGACCAGAGGAACCAGCCTCTCAACGGTGGAGTCCACCCCAGGCACTCTAGAATCCCCCTCGATCCGGACAAGTGTTCCTCTGTCTGTTCTTCCGCGATGTCCTCGTCCCCGGTCAAGACCACCCACACGCAGACTACCGTCACGAAGACGCACGTGCACTCGCATGAACCCAGCATCGCCGGCGAGACGACCAAGAAGACGGTGACCACGACCACCAACAAGACGTACGTGTTCACGTCCGAGTCGGGTGAGGAGATCGTTCTGGACCTCCGAAATGCGGCCACCACGCGCCCGCACGCTCGCAAGATTAAAGGCTCCATCGTCACTTCCGAGTTCACGCAGAGCTCGTCTATCTTCGTGTTCGAATATTCGTCAGAAGGCACGGGCGCGTCGGAGCACACCGAGATTTTCGTGCCGTACATCCACTTCCCGGGCGGTTACCGCGTGACGGCGTCAGACGGTCACTGCTCCATCGAGAAGCACGAGGGCTACGACATTATCAAGCACGAGCACGACAACGACGCGCACAAGCACCGCATTGTGGTGGAGAAGACCAAAAAGGTGGTTGCGAAGAGCTCGCGGTTCGCCTGGATGGGCCACAACAACATCCCAGTGTATGTGGCGCTGGGTATCGCTGTTGTCACGCCCTACCTGACGTGGTAACTCGCTCGCTGACGAGAGGATAAGGTGCCATAACATACTATAGCCTCACACAAGTACTCGACATATACCTACCAAACAGCGTTCTGTCATTAGTAGGATTGATGCGATCAATATAATACTCATCCGTCCTTGTAGTTACTGGTATGCGTTTAAGTCGTCGTTATTAATAATGGAGCCACGCTCTACATGAACTGCATGAAGCAGCACTGAACGTGACGAGGCAGTGAGTCAGAGGATCATCTGAGAACGAGTGACCCCCCAACTGGACGGGGCAAATGATCACTTCGACAAGGGATGGCACCTTGTCGAAGAGCCCACGCGTGAGCTTTTTGACCTGCATCAACCTCCTCGAACATTGCTGAATGCTGCTAGTCTCTGTACAGTCATCAAGTTGCCGTGGAGATTTTGTCAACGACATCAAATCCGTGTGGATGAGCTTCGCTCTTCAACTCCTGCGCATACGTATCCACCCTCGTCGAGGTCTCTGCATTGATCAATTTGCGTTCAAGAGCTCAAGACCAGCAAGACCAAAGATGTCACTGACGAAGCCTGCTCCTGAGCCTGAGGCTCGCGAGACCACGATTCTGGGCATGAAGGACGGACACTTCGTGGACCAGCACGGCCGCGTCGCGCTGCTGCGTGGTGTGAACCTCGGTGGCTCGTCCAAGCTGCCGTTCGGCTACGGCCACACAGACGACCAGGACATGAGCGACTTCTTCGATGGCGCCGCCTCCGTGTCGTTTGTTGGACGTCCATTCCCACTAGAAGAGGCGGACTTGCATTTGTCCCGCCTGCAGCGCTGGGGTCTCACGTTCCTGCGTTTCATCGTGACGTGGGAGGCCATCGAGCACGCTGGGCCGGGTCAGATCGACCACGAATACCTCAAATACATTCGTGCAGTGGTGGAGAAGGCTGCGGACTACAATATGCAGGTGTACATTGACCCGCACCAGGACGTCTGGTCTCGTTGGACGGGAGGTGACGGTGCTCCCATGTGGACGCTGGAATGTATCGGCTTTGAGCCACGCAACTTCGAGCCTACCAAGGCAGCGCTGTGTCTCGAGACATGCGGACTACCAGCATCCAAGTTCCCAAAGATGATCTGGCCTACAAACTACGCGAAATTGGCGTGTGCCACCATGTTCACGTTGTTCTGGGCTGGCAAGAAGTACGCGCCTAACTGCTACGTGGACGGCGTGCAGATCCAGGAGTATCTCCAGTCGCACTACCTCGACTCATTGGCCGCATTGGCTGAAGCTCTCAAGGGCCTTCCGAATGTTGCAGGCTACGGCACGATGAACGAGCCGTCCAATGGGTGGATTGGAACGAAGAACTTGGTGGTTTCCGGAGGCTTCCGTAATGGCTTAGCATCGTCCCCGCTCTCTGCTATGGCGCTTGGTGAAGGTATTGCTCAAGACGTTGAAGTGTGGGGCGCTGGGATCATGGAGATGATGCGTGGGAAGCCCAAGCGTATCGAGCACGTTGATCCTAAGGGCGTTCGCGCGTGGAAGGACGGTGCTAAGTGCATCTGGAAGGAACATGGCGTGTGGGGTTTGGACGCTCAAGGTAAACCCCAGATCTTGAAGCCTGACTACTTCGCTGGAGTCGATTTCGGCACGGAATTCTTCCTCCCGTTCGCTAGGAGGTTTACGAAGCGCATCCAGAGCATTTCACCGAAGGCTATGATCTTCACTGAGATGCCTCCTACCGAGATTGGCGACCTGGTGTTCCCTGACATCTCTAAGGAGGATATCCCCCTTTCAGTCAATGCGATGCACTGGTACGACATGATCACGCTCTTCACGACGACGTGGCGTTCGTACTTCACGCTCGACTTCGCCACCGGTAAGCCTGCGTTTGGCAACGCTGCGCTTCGTGCGTTGCACCAGAAACAGCTAGCGCACGTTGCTAGCTTCGGTCGTGAAAAGATGTCGAATGCCCCCACTCTAATAGGTGAGACGGGTATTCCGTACAACATGAACCACGCTCAGGCATTCGAGACGGGAGACTTCTCCGCCCAAGTGGAGGCTTTGGACAACACTATCTACAACCTCGAGTCGCAGTTGCTGTCCTTTACACTGTGGAACTACACGGCCGACAACTCGCACAAGTTCGGAGATCTGTGGAACCTGGAGGACTTGAGTATCAGCAGTCCAGACACAGAGTCACTAGTGCGCCGTCTGTCCGGCGTTCGTCGCCGTGATGACTCCGCCCGTGGCCTTCGTGCGTTTGCTCGTCCTCATGGGCGCCGAATCGTCGGAATTCCGAGCAAGTCGGAGTTTAATTTGAAGACTGCGGAGTATGAGCTGGAGTACACGTCGGAGAAGAAGCAGGCGAGCGCTGTCACGGAGATTTACGTGCCGTACGCTCACTACCCGGAAGGTTATCGCGTGACTGCCTCCGATGGTCACTTTACTATCGACAAGCACGAGGGATACGACGTGGTGAAGCACGAACATGACGGCCATGTGCACAAGCACCGCGTCGTGGTTCGCCCTACAAAGCCTCTGCACGCGGGCCACTCGAACTGGCCTGTTTACCTTGCTCTTGCCGCCGCAATAGTGAGCCCGTACCTCGAAGCTTACACGATGTAAGCACTATCGGTGAACTGTGTCAGCCGTACTCTGGATTTCATTAATGCAGTATCAAAAATATATTCTCGCTCTCATTCATTCCTCGTAGTTCATGCCGTAATTAATTACTTCCCCCTCACAATTCATCATCCGTAAACCATTCCGTGTGTGTAAGAGCACCTGCAGCGTGTGGTCGCTTTGGCGCTGCATAGTCCTCAATATCTTCCATCATTTCCACATCCTCTCCAAAGTCGTCAACAGCTCCGTCGTCCTCTTCATCCGTACTCGGCACACCCAACACTTGATACGACCGACTCGAGCTCGCACTAGAACTCCGCCGTCTAGACGTCTCAAATCCACCCGTAGGATCAATAGGCTTCGCTTCCATCTGCGTCTCCACTTTAGACTCGTTCTTCTGTTCCGCAACCTGATCCAATTCCCTCATGTAGCGTCTGTGAGCCTGATACCATTGGCGCTTCTCCGCCATCGATAATTTCTCGAACTCGTGCGGTGTTAGCGACAAATAAGCCGGTAAATCCTGCGTGAATGTCTTCACCGACGTCGGGGGTCTAAAAACCACCATTTCATTACCTTGTGGATTGGTCGGAGGCGTTGACATTGTTTGAGCCACTGCCACATAGTGGCGGTACATTCTGTCAAGGGGTCGACGTCGCTCGGCTGCCCCTGCAGTGAAGAAGTTGCGTAGTCCTCCAACCTCTGCCGCGTCTCCATATACCTTCAATCCTGTCTGTTCCCCCGTGACGTCCATCATTCCGTCGCTGTCGCTGCCACTGCCGTCCACGGACGGAGTCTTCTCCCGTCCGAACTCATCGAGCTCCACGATCCTGGGACCCCCTCCAACGTCTTGCTTAGCCTTTTCTCTAGCCAGTCGCCGTTCACTCCTGCTCTTGGTTCTGCTCTTAGCGCTGTCCACGCCCACGGGCCGACCCCGTGAGCCTTGTAGACACAATTCGTCCAGCTGCTCCGCCAGCGTTCGCTGCCTCTTCCTGGACGCCGGACTACGGCTCAAAGACGAGCGGAATGTCGACGTTCGCAGCAAGGAAGGACCGGACCCTGCCCCGTGGTGCTGGAAGTAGTTATACGAGTTCTGCCGCATGGTGCGCGAGTCTAGCTCCTCGATTTCGATGGCCGCAGAGTCGTCACGACGACGACGGATCCCATGAGCATGTGGCATCCGTACGAGCAAATTGGAACCGGTTGTGCGTCCAGAGGAGGAGGAAGTAGATGCTGAAGATGTTACTATGGTGGGCTGTCCACTGGAGTTGGCAGTACTCGCCATCGCGCGGAGCTTTCGATATCGACTGTGTCCTTCGAGAAATGTGATTTGTTTGATTTAGTATGCGATTAAAAGGGGAATGGAAAGTGCTTCGAAAAATATTTTGAGGTTTTTGACATTTTTAGATGCCCAAAACTTTGTAATTTTCAAAAACCATAACTATATTTCAAACCTAGAACGTTTTAAAAACGGGAAGGCTGATCGTGTTTTAAATTATGAAAAATTCATAATTTAAAACACGATCAGCCTTCCCAGACGCAGTTCTCCACGAAAGGCAACTATTTTCCAATCACTCAGTCTAGGCCACATTCTCTGCCCAAAGCATTAAATCAGATTGTCGAAATTACCGCACGTCACTTGAACATTGGTTAATTGGTGTAGTCAAACACAAGAACAACATCCAAATACACAACATTAGCGCGGACAAGATGGACATTCACCGGTGGTCGACTGATGAAGGGACTCGTGCTTTGTTCGGCAAAATCAGCAATGTCCGATGTGATTGCAGTGCGAGGAACTTTCGAGCAAGTATAGCACCTTGATCATGTTAAGGCGGTTGATGAGATACACATTCTTGGAATTTAGTGGGATTCGAACGAAATGCTTCAAATCTGTGTATTTAAGGAACTATCTGACAATACACCAGGCTTTCTAAAGTCTTTACGGTGACCCTATCAGAAACTACTTTCTCATGAAAATGGCTTGGAATGGATAAACACGTGATTTCATATTGATATGTACCACAAATTACTACTATCACAAGGTAAAACCTTTGATTTTGACCTCATTTGACCGGTTTTTTTTTTAAAGTCATATTGTACCGTTTCAAGTTAGACAGTCATGTCAAGGTAAAATAAAAAAGCAAGGCTTTCAGTTCGGTGGAATCACATCCTATCCACTACGGCAGGATGTCACGATATACGAGCTCATCATCGACAGGATCATCTGTAATACATATTTCCTCCCGGTTTTTCTTATAAATGCAACTACGTAGTTACTTTTGAATTCCTCTGAAAATATATGCAAACATCGATATTGATTGGTAGAGATGAAAAAAACGGTTACTTAAGTATATCGGGACGTCACTTTGCCAGGAAGCACTCTCACTCTTAAACACCGCGCAGAATAACTAGGGAGTTTCGCTATATACTTTTTAGCGTGAGATTTAATACTTGGTGTCGGAAAAATACTGTCTTTAGTGTTGTCGCACATCCAGGGTCTTCCATTCTGCAGAATTTTTGCTTCTTTTTATTATAATCGCCAATATTGGCGCTTACTTTAGCGTTTATAATAAAGAAGTGGAACCAATAGGAGCGCACTATGCATCCGATAGCTGTCCTAGAAAAAAGTCATCATCTGGCAACCTATCCAGGAGAAGGATACAGTAGGTTTGCCGTTGTATTTAATTCCAGCGTAGGAAGTATATAATATAATACTCCACGAGCCCTGCAACGCAATGCTATGTTCGAACCGGTCAACGGTATTTTAAAACTCATAGCACATTTATTACGCACAGAATATACGCCAGCCCCACTTCAATGCAATATGGCTTTAGCACGGTCGAGACCTTGATTTGGAAGTCTCAATTACCTTAGACCTAGCTCCGCATGCGACGCTTGCACGAACTAGTTCCGGTTCCTGGTGTTTCGTTACTCGTGACGGTAGGAGTATCTGCCGGAGCTGGAGTCGAGTCAATCTTCGTAAAATCCGTCGTCAGAGCAGCCGGTGTCGCTTCGGGTGCAGCAGGAGCAGCTTCAGGAGTTGTTTGGTCCGTTGTTGACGCCTCGCCTGCGACTTCACCAGATCCTCCGTTCGAAATAGGAACGCATTGCTCTAAAAGTAGCAAACGCAAGAGAATGACGAGTTAGCATAAGTCAAAACAGCTTTGAGCACGGCTTCATTGACGTACTGTAAATCTGCCATTCCGGCGAGTGGAGTGCCAACCAGTAGAAGACAAACAAGCACTTGTCACCCTTGCACGACGAGTAGTCCGTGGGTATTTTGGCCGGGTACGACGGAAATTCAGCAACACAGTCGTCGTAGTGAAAGACCATCTTGTTGTCAATCCAGCCTTCACAGGGGCCCTGTAAAAGCGAAAGAATACAGTTAAGTAAAGAGTAGGTAGCAAGCACTTCAAGGAGATTTAACGTACGTGGTGCGAGTTCAGAAAACCCTCCTTATACTCGTCGTTCTGCCACCACATTTCCTTGTAGCTGCTCACATCTACGGGCGTCGCCGTGTCTAGCGAGTAGCCGTAGCCGGGAGAAATGGGGTCAATCATATCGCGCAGGGACTTGTATCCCGTGGCTTTCCAGTGCTGTGTGAACTGCTTCGCGTTGTTCACTGGCTCATGGTTGTAGACACCACCGGCGAATCCCTTGTTTATGCTTGCGCTGGTGAGACCGTTGTATGTCGTGTAGACGGTGTTGGGCTTGTACGACGCCTTGGGTCGCGAGATGTAGCCGTGGGCGTTCACGGAGCCCACCATCGTGGCTAGCACAACGGCACTTGAAAAGGTGAAGGTCTTCATGCTCGTGTAACCCTGGGAAAGACTGAGGAATTCTTGTCCTGACACTTGCGATTAAAGAATGAGGGTTAGCAGTGTCTTCCCTAAGACGAATATCGACAACGTCTATGATGTCAATTATGGATGTGCCCTTGCAGCACACCATCCTCGGCAAAAATTAAACGATTGTTGTCGATCGAACGGTAAAAACAGAGGAAACAGATGGTATGCCGCCTCGTGCTCTTCGTGTTATCATACTGAGATTTATTGAAGTTTAGTAAAGGATAGTGCAGATACATGTACCGGTTCAGAATAATTAAAAGTATTCACGTATAGGTAAGCGGATTTTACTTTCTTCTTCCGCTTCAGCGATTGAAAGCCACACGTATAGGTGGAAACTGGAACGATTTCAGCAGCACGTCTGAGACGCCCAAAATGGGGTTTTTCTAAAGTTCAAAACAAAAATATTTATGGAATCAAACGCCTTCAAATGGTTGCGGGAATCGCTCCCCTAACCTGCCAAAATATAAGGTCACTATAATTTAAGAAATCTACATCCCTTATCAACTTCAAAAATGACGAATTACTTATTCAATATGTCAATATTTAAGTTCAAAGTGCGGCTAGCCGATAAAACCACGGTACCTGTTGCAGAATGGAAAGTGGTGGGAGGCCGAGGAGATTGCACTAAGAGATATGAAGCTCTCATTCCAATCTTTCCGTTGGCTAGTGACATTTTTGAACTTTCATTTTTGACAAATTGAACTAGCAATATAGCACCATCACCAATGAAGAGTCCATTCTTCGGCGTGGGGGATGTTGCAGGACCAAGGAGGTGTGGTTTAACCTGGGCAATGGAGACTATAATCCGTGGTAAAGGTGAGTGTATTCTTCCATATACTATCCAAAATGTTTATTCGTAGTGTATACTTGGGCCCGAAAAATGCAAAGCTGAGATGAATTAGTTCTATTCTTAGTTCTATTTATAAAAATAAATTTAAAAACAAGGAGACTGCTACCCCCTCCAGGGAAAGTGTACTAAGATAAACTACAGTACTGCACCCCGCTTTCGCGCCCTCAGACTTTGATAAACTTCTGGATATGATGCTTGTTTTGCCGAATAGACTCGGGTTTCTATGCCGAAACCTAATGTGTTTGCAAACAATATACTGTCTATCCCCGCGAAAACGGAGTGCATTATTGTATAAAGTTTCACAGTCTGACACTGCCTTTGACAGCACCTTTACAGGACCAAGCCAGTATAGTGCCGGTACAGTATGGTACTGTATTCATGATAAAAGTAATGGTATAATCGTAATAGCAGGAATCTACGAATTTCCCACAATAAAGCGTAGTGCGGTTCGAAATACATCTCAACTTCGGGAAAGTGGGAAAATCTCAAATGTATCTTGAGATTTCCCTACCTTTTGTCAAGTGTATTCGATAAGCATCTTATTCGTGCTCTATCGTCCTCGTCCTAGTATACGTTAAACCAGCAAAACGTAGAAACAACTTCTGGGGCCATAGTTCCTTCCGCAGCTTCAAAACTGTACAGGCGAGGTCTGCAGACCTTTGCCTCTTTATCGCGGTATGAATTCAATCGTTACGGCTCAGAGTGGCAGAGAACGCCCCAGGTATTGAAAATCCACAAAAGAGCAAGAATCGGGAGACAGTCCATTTCCCGCAATTAGATAGAAGTATTACTGAATTACTTTCTCTCGTCATACAACAGACTCACGCAGTACACGTGCAGCGGGCAAACTGACATCAAATACACTCAAACATCTACATGTATCAGCCCTGCGCTCTCGAAGCATAAGCCCAGCATATTCTAACTACGGCGACGTAGGACACACTTGCCCGAGGGGGTGGCAGCTTCTGTTGCTGTCGGCGTCGCTGGAGCAGCTTCAGGGACAGAGGGCGTAGTTTCCGGTGCGTCGGTTGCAGGCTGAGGTTCAGGAGTGGCGGTGTCCGGAGCCGGAGTGTTTGAGGTAGAGGATGGTGCCTCCGTCGACTCGGTCTGTTCAGCATTTGAAGCTTCGCCTCCTACAGACGCTTCTGATTGTGTCACATCCGAGGCGCTGTTGTCTGTTGATGTGACAGTCTGAATATCATCAGAGGGTCCATCATCGGTAGAAGCAGACGCCTGTGTAGTTGTTGAGCCTCCGTTGTCACCCACACTAGATGATTGAGTCGTGGTGGACGCACCAGACCCATTGTTCGTAATCGGCACGCACTGCTTGTAGATCTGCCAGTTTGGCTCATGAAGCGCCAGCCAGTAGAACGCGAACAGGCAGTCGCCTTTGCACGACGAATAGTCCGCCGGAATCTTGGCCGGATACGACTTAAACCGAGCAGCACAGTTGTCGTAGTGGAAGACCTGCGTCTCGCCAATCCACGCCTCACAAGGACCTTCGTGAGAGGCGATGAAACCTTCCTTGTACTCATTGTTCTGCCACCACATCTCGGTGTATCCCGTCACGTCGACAGGGGTTGCCGTTTCGACGGAGTGTCCGTAGTCTGTGGCGATGGGGTCAGTCATGTCACGAAGTGACTTGTAACCCGTAGCGTTCCAGTGCTCGGTGAATACTTGCGTGTTCTGCGAGGGACTTCCATTGTATTTGCCACCGGCGAAGCCCTTGTTAACTGCAGCAGTCGTAATGGCGTTGTAATCGGTGTACGGGGTGTTGGGTTGGTAGGTTGCCTTGGGCTTGGAGATGTAACCGTGAGCTTGGACGCATGCAGTCAAAGATGCAAACGCGAGGATGCAGGGTGGCGCCTTCATTATTGAATAATGTTAGGAGGAGAGTTCAGACTCAAGACCGTCGAGAGATATTAAAAACTGAGTGGTCCGAAGGTTAATTGCAGTCTGTCCTGCTTGCACTGTTTCGAGCAATCTGTTCGAACAGCTCGTCAACTTTGCTGACTTGACGGTCAAGTGAGCTGGTTCCGATCTGGCAGCTGCAGGGTGTCAATTGTTGGTTCGGAAGATTGCGCGACCAACCACCCAAAACACAAGGATTGCGTGAGAAACCTATCGAAACACAAAGATTGCGGGACAAACCTATCGCAACGAAACATAAGTACTGTAAAGGCAGTCCTCATTGATTGAGGATTTTTTCGATTTCCCGCTATTAGTTTATTATAGGGACCAGAAGGCAAGTGAATAAAGGAATAGGGAGGGTTCATACACAGTTTTAGTTTTAGCAATTCAGCAAGTACAATCAAAGGCAGCCTCAGTAATCTACTGAGAGGAGACACCCGTTTGAATCGCTACGTGTACAGAATACTTAATACCTTCAATCGAGAGTAAGCTAGAGGTTGACGACACACGTCCTTCCCGGTCGATTATTTAAAATGTGTAGTATCGAGGCAGGTTTTGGAGATAGCAGTAGCTAGTCCCCACAAAAGTTCTATGAGGCGCTAACAATGTTTGTCTCTTTATCTGATGCTGCTGAATGCTGTCCTCAGAGTTCGGGTGGCAGTTTCACGGTGGTACCTACCGTTGTTTGTACTGAAGGCGAGCCTGCACTACAACACGTTTGTGGCGCTCTGTAGCTTTCCTTGAGGTTCGCGGCTAATGATGCAAAACTTGCATACTAGGATAAGTTCAACAACGGCAATGTTCAGAGACTTTAAGCGAAAGAAGAAAAGATACCGCGCCGTTGCTGGAATGGTGTCCTCCATCCTCATGACATGTTGGTATTTGATAACTTGGTGACAGCCATCCAGAAATTTTCTTTTTTGGCTTCCAAAAGCATTTCGGACGGATCTGTTCAGATTTATGGGGTGGTATCTTGATACCGAGCAAATATTTGTACTTCGCTAAGTCCTGTATGGCGCACATGTCGTGATGGGCCATGGAAAACAACAAACTTGTCGTTTTAAACGAGGGGTTGCCAGGGATCTTAATATAGGTATTATAAGGGAAAGCGACCTATTTCCCTCAAGTAATGCTTTAAATGTCAATGTTGTGCCCCCAGACGGATATGAGCAGGAGACACAGAAAGCCAAATTCAACTGAAAAAGTACTCGAAGTGCTAAAAAAAAAGGAGCTCAAGTCGCATTTACGTGTAAGAACAAGAACCTTTTCTCACCTTAGTAATGTGAGGAACAATCGAATATCCACGTTACAAGAATTCCAACGCATTCAGCCATTATCCGGCTTTGGTCTACTTATGTCTTTGAGTTTGCCTGGATTTCTGGTCGGCCCGATATCAACCGCGAATCAGAGCTGCAGCATCTATGTGGTAGATCATTCGATTCTGCATATCTTGGCCTGTTAGAATATCGTATCGGAACACTAGATTGACGCGCGAGCAAGTATATGATTCGTGAGATATAATAGTTTGCTTACCTCAGCGAATTTGAGGGAATACCACTGATATTCATTTTAACTGGCGTGAGTGTCAATGAGAGTCAGATTCACGCTTTAAATCTTTAGCTCTCGATATGAACTAATTAATCACTTTCTGAATCTGGTTGCTAAAACCTAATTGTAGTGCTCATTTTTTTATATTATTTTAATAATATTAAATTATTATATAGACTTCAAATCCTAGTATAGATCTTCTTGTCTCCTATTAATACATGTATTAGTTAGATTTTTATGTCTGGTTTAGCTAGCAAAATTGAGCTGTATCCGACTCGAAACGTATATATATGCTCCCAGCAAAGCTAGGTGAATTGTAAGTGATATAAAGAACTATGGGGTATCTGTTAGAAACAGGAAACTTGGTAGAAGATTTAGCTGCAATCTTGCGATAGCCTCTGTGTCTTATTTAGGTGATATGGCCTTTTCTAACCGGAACAGAAATGTATACCATAACCAGTTCTGGATGTATACCGTGTTTTGCAAATCTGCAAATCGATTAAGATCATATGATACTGTAGGGTTTACTGTAGGGAAAGACATTCGCCGCAATGTTGCAACTTAATGATACATGTATTACTTTCCTTCGTGCCCGAAAACTGCAAATTAGCTTAACTCTGAAATGAAAAGCTTAAATACCCAGAGGAAAATAGGTACAGGTTTAAGCAAATGCTGTATGAACTTCTCGATTCATGGAAAGTGCACAGTACTAAGAAAAAGACAATACAGGTAGTTTCACAGTCTAACACTATCCTTGAAGACTGGATCGGATCTGCAACATCACCTTTACATGCATTACGGAACGAAGGCATTGTACAGTTTGGCACCATAATTATGATAAGCGTAATTGTATCCTCGTAATGGCTCTCACATTTCCCACAGAAAAGCTAACTGCGCTATGAAATGCGGTCTTTAATTCGGGAAGATGGAGAAACTCAAGGTTGAAAAGTATAGACTTTTGGGTTAGACGTTGTATTTGCTTCAAACCTTTTAGCAAACCGTTTGGCAGCTATTAATGTGAGTATTTTTATTTCAATCTTGATTTGCTCTTCTTGCTAGTACTGCTCTGTCTGCCGCCCTCGATATAATCTGCAAGTCTTAAAAACGATTTTTGGGGTGGCAGGATTTCCTTCGGCAGCATCACAAGGTTTGATTCAAAACGTACAGGCTTGTTAAAAATAAATAGAACACGCTGCATAAAACGAAACTTCTCT